TATATGAGAAAACAGCAGAGTAATGGATTCGCCAGGAAATTTTTCTGCATTGATTGCAGCAGTATTACTAATCCTGAATCAACCCAAATGTACAGAACTGAATAAGTATTAGAGCTGTCCAATAAGATTTGATGAATGCATTATTCCATTAATTTTATCTTTTTTTGTTGAATAACTTATTTGACAAATAATGGTAAAATTCATCAAATAAATTATCCAATGAACATATTTTTTAAGGAATTGACTAGCTCTAATGAATATGCAGGCAGTTCCTTAATGAAAAGCATTACTCTACTGTTAGCCTGCTTTCATCACTCATATGTCGCTTTTTTCTATTTTGCAACTGCAATCTGTATATTTTATTTATTTACCCATTCATTTATACTTGGGAAGTTCAAAACAGTATGGTTAATCAATCACTGCAATTCTTAGAATACTTTTGCTTTACAGCTGATTATTCATTACATTTATTACATACAAGAATGCTTAATAAAAAGAACTTGGCTTTTCTGAGGACACCTCTCCCAAGAACTGTTCTTGGCTTGTGTGTTCCAAGTCAAGTTTACAATTTGCTCTGCAAATTGCAGGGTCCATTTATAAGCCACTTTTGTGCTTGCAAACACCACAATTACCAATTGTTTCAAGAAACCGGAGCTTGAAGCCAAGCCAGACACCTCCAAGGTCCCTGAAAACACACATTAGAGGAATAAAATGAGGAAGAGAGTAAAGGAGCCACCTCCTCACTGCACAACACTAGGATGTTTGGACAAGAGCCACAGAGAGGATTATTTGGATGGTGTTCAATTTTGGAAATGTTCCAACCTCAAAGAGCAAGTCTGTATTTTGTTATTACAGTGGTGGTCTCATCAAATGATGCTGATAGATTGATACTGTTAAATGGCAAATTACATCTGTAAATGTCACGTGTCACACTTCTGAGTCCTGGCTCCTCACACAGGTATGGCAGTTCATTGCGGCAGTGACAGTGGGTGCAACAGTCAAGCCGGCATGGCTCTGTCAATACTGCAAAGGTGCAAATGATGTTATCATGGGTGACTTTGAACTTGCTGCACGAAGCTCAACTGAACAGATTTAATGGGAGAAGATTGTGGGAGACAGGTATATTAGAAGGGTTGCCTATAGCTGCACTTGGAGTAGCAGCGATTCTCTTCCAAATTTTCCTTTTAATGGCTTGTAATAAATAGAGTGTTATAAATACAGTGCATTATAATTATGTAATAAATACAGTGTTGAGTTTCATGAGTACAGTGTTAATAATCTTTGCCCAACCCTTCCAAATGATGTCATTTCTACTGCTGGTTGGACAATTAATATATAACTGTCCCTCACAATAGGTACAAGTGGAGGGACTTATCCTGTGTCCACAGAGTTTAAAGATGAAGTTTCCAAAACTGTCGGTGATACAGAATAAAGCCCTTACATAGGTCTGCTCCCACTCAACACAGAGCGAGCTGTCATACCAGAGGTGCGGAAAGCTATGTAGAAGTCCTCTACAATAGGAAAGAGTTTGTTTTTGCTGACATTACATGCCAATCAAAACTGCAGCCACATTACCCTGCAGAAAAATGTTTATTTCCATTCTACATGCTTCTTATTACAGGGACATTATTATTGTAAGAGTGTATTACAAAAGAAAAGAAAATGTTCTAGGGTTTTTTTTTTTTTCTTTTCATTTTCACACCTTTTATCTCTGGAGCTTATATTTGTATTTGCCTCAATCAGGCATGGGTTTTGGTGTGTGTGAATGGTTGTCCCTTAAAGCTTGTGATAAACTCACTTTTCTATTAAAAAGTTTAAATACTTGTTATAAATAATTTTTCAATACTTGTATGCTTTGATCTAATCTAGTGCATAGTTTTAGCTAAAATGGTTGTGGTTCTAAAGATTACAAGTATTAGGAGGAAAAAATAAGTTGTAGAAATTATCTTCAGCTTGCAGCTTGCATTACAAAGGTTTTAAATGCCCTTTCTTTGCTAACTCTATCTAAAGAAGTTCTGACCCATTATTTTTCATATACAGTCACCAACCTAATAACAACAACAATTTTTAGATGGGATCAATAAGACCGTTGCTTTGCACTTAAGAATTCTAATAGAACCTTAATATTAATAAGCAAACACCTTCAGAAGTAGTGTTACGCTTAGGCAATCAGAAGCGAACTTAGTTTGCACTCCTGATAAACGCTTGAGCTCCCTGTGCCTCACTATTGCTGCAGATTTAAAGTCCAAGGGTGTATTTGAAACAATGTACCCTGAGACGCCAAATCCATTGGTAGAGAACCGGTTCTGTGCTTCATCGTTTACGTGGTATCTCAAAGGCATATGACAGTATAATCCAAACCACAGATCTCCTGGGTCCCCATTCACAGAAACCGAAAGCACCATTTAGGTACGTGGACATTCGTGCCAACAATGAGTTTAATGTTTTTGTACAAGAATCAGATTTATGGCGAGAGGCTTTCCAGAGATTTGGTATCCAGACTATCTCAGAAAACCTGCAAATGCAATGCTATTAGTAGATGAAGCTCAGGATTAAACGTAAACTATATGAGGGTTGCAGTGCTCTATCTGGTTATCCCAGAACAAAAACAACATTTCCTTTTCAGAGTCCTTAATTAGTAATTTATTTTTGCTGTTGTTTTAATTAGCTGTGAGCAGAATGGAAATCTTGGAAAGAGATCAGCTTCTGTAATTAAAAGGACTTTCTGAGAGGCACTACTTTGGAAAGGGCTGAATCTTTGCTATGGTGGTGCCCGTTGCAGTGTGCTCAGCAG